GCCGGGAACAAAGGGTAGGAATTAATGGTAAATTCTCAGAATGGAGAGGGGTAACTAGTGGTGTTCCCCAAGGGTCAGTCCTCGGACCGATCCTATTCAACTTATTCATAAATGATCTGGAGAAAGGGGTAAACAGTGAGGTGGCAAAGTTTGCAGATGATACTAAACTGCTAAAGATAGTCAAGTCCAAAGCAGACTGTGAAGAACTTTAAAAAGATCTCACAAAACTAAGTGATTGGGCAACAAAATGGCAAATGAAATTTAATGTGGATAAATGTAAAGTAATGCACATTGGGAAAAATAACCCCAACTATACATACAATAGGATGGGAGCTAATTTAGCTACAAGGAGTCAGGAAAAAGATCTTGGAGTCATCGTGGATAGTTCTCTGAAGATGTCCGCGCAGTGTGCCGAGGCGGTCTAAAAAGCAAACAGGATGTTAGGAATCATTAAAAAGGGGATAGTAATAAGACGGAGAATATCTTATTGCCCTTATATAAGTCGATGGTACGACCTCATCTCGAATACTGCGTACAGATGTGGTCTCCTCATCTCAAAAAAAGATATACTGGCACGGGAAAAGGTTCAGAAAATGGCAACTAAAATGATGAGGGTTTGGAACGGGTCCCATATGAGGAGAGATTAAAGAGGCTAGGACTCTTCAGCTTGGAAAAGAGGAGACTAAGGGGGGATATGATAGAGGTCTATAAAATCATGAGTGATGTGGAGAAAGTGGATAAGGAAAAGTTATTTACTTATTCCCATAATACAAGAACTAGGGGTCATCAAATGAAATTAATGGGCAGCAGGTTTAAAACAAATAAGAGGAAGTTCTTCTTCACACAGCACACAGTCAACCTGTGGAACTCCTTGCCTGAGGAGGTTGTGAAGGCTAGGACTATAACAGGGTTTAGAAGAGAACTGGATAAATTCCTGGAGGTTAAGTCCAATAATGACTATTAGCCAGGACGTGTAAGGAATGGTGTCCCTAGCCTCTGTCTGTCAGAGGGTGGAGATGGATGGCAGGAGAGAGATCACTTGATCATTGCTTGTTAGGTTCACTCCCTCTGGGGCACCTGGCATTGGCCACTGTCGGTAGACAGGACACTGGGCTGGATGGACCTTTGGTCTGACCCCAGTACGGCCTTTCTTATGTTCGCCAAAAGTGTCGGTTGTGCAATGAAAACAGGGAATGATTATTCTTATGTATGGGTAACCAGAAGTTATAAAAACAATTCCCTCAGACACTCCAGTTTCCCAGTATCACCACCAGTGCCACTCCTTATAGGGACGAATGGTTATGAAAAATAAAAAATGTTCTCCCGATCCCAAAGGACCAAGCCCCAGACCCAGGTCAATATACAAATCAGATCTTACCCACAAATCACGTTGTTGCCAATCCTTTAGAATCTAAAATCTAAAGGTTTATTCATAAAAGGAAAAAGATAGAGATGAGAGTTAGAATTGGTTAAATGGAATCAATTACACACAGTAATGGCAAAGTTCTTGGTTCAGGCTTGCAGCAGCGATAGAATAAACTGCAGGTTCAAATCAAGTCTCTGGAACATCCCCAGCTGGGATGGGTCCTCAGTCCTTTGTTCAGAGCTTCAGTTTGTAGCAAAATCCCTCCAGAGGTATGAAGCAGGATTGAAGACAAGATGGAGATGAGGCATCAGCCTTTTATAGTCTCTTGCCATGTGGTCTCTGCTTTCTTTGTCCCAAAGACACCGATCCAGCACATGGCCTGGAAAACCTCAGAGCTCTGTCCATAGGCCTGTCCCTGCCTTGCTGAGTCACCAGGTGTATCTGCTTCTCTCAATGGGTCAGTTGTAGCTGATGGGCGTTAATGGGCCATCAAGCAGGCTAGGCAGAGCTAATGCCACATTGTCTGTATCCCTGCAGCCCCTTCGCACTGTCCCCACGTGTCTCTGTGCCCCAACTCAGCCACCTCCCTTCCCCCACGTGGCCCTGCTCTGTTCTAGAGCCACAGGGGCCCCTAGTGGGCAAAAGGTGGAACTGCAGCAACTTTCCTGCAGAAGTTATTTTCTGCGGGGTCGGGAAATTATGCACAGCACATGAATTATGCGCGCAGTGGCACAGAATTCCCCCCAGGAGTAGAAGGTGACAGGGCAGGAGGGATCCAGGGTTGAAAGTGCCATTTCAGCTCTGAACGAGGCTCCTTTCAGCCCTGCAGAAATTATTCGAGTTCCTAAAGGAGCCGAGTGCCATGGGTTTCATTCCCGGTTCTCCCTTCCCCGCCTCCTGTGCAGACAAAGCACAACGGCAGCCGTGAGAATGATTCCTGCTCCCAGCACCAGCAGCCGGATGGTCCAGTGATGTGGGGACAGCGTTCGATGTCCGGGCTCAGACTGGGTTGTGTTCCCCTGCAGACCGGGCCGGGTCGTGTTCTGAGCAGGGGGACCTGAGAGAGAGAGAGAGAAAGAGACATCCTGAGATCTCCTCCCAGTCAGCTCTGTCTGCGGAACTCTGAGGGGCTGCGGGTCGGGAGTGAGGGGCACCGGCAGAGCTGGCGGGGCGAGG